ACATTTTATGTGATGGTGTGGATGAGTCCTAAACTGGAGGAAATACATTTCCCCAAAATTTCCAAGGCATTGTGACTTACCTTAGTTAACCTTACAAGGTGGCTAAGAGTTTTCCATTATTTTCCTTGAGTTGTTTTTTTTTAAACTTTAAAAAAGGCCTGCCCAGCTCACAGCAGTGCACACTGCAGTTTCCTGTTGCCGCACTAACTGAAATGCCATGGGAATGACGCCACATTGCATCGCTGCCAAGCCATTCTGGAAAGTGCGGCCAGTGGGAAGTGGCAGTAGGCATTCAGCAGCCTCCACCCAGCTGTACTTCCTGGAATGCCAAGGGAGTAATGCAATTTGAACACAAGAAAGCGTTGGCTGAATCAGGCCAAATACCCATCTAGTCCAGCATCCTGTTCTTACAGTAACCAACCAGATGTTCACAAGCAGGACCTGAGTGGAATTCATCTTTTTCACATCTGCTACATACTGGATCAACACCTTTGAGCTATCCACTATACCCCCAAGTTCTTGTTCTTGGTGAATCACCATCAGTTCAGGCCTCATTAGCTTACATGTGAAATCAGGAAGGTGATAGATGAGAGATGGATAGATGGTAGATAGATAGATAGATAGATATTTGCGCCAATCTGCATCACTTTGCACCTGCTTATGCTGAATTGCATTCACCATTGTACTGCCCATTCACCTAATTTGGTAATATCCTCTTGATCCCTTTTTGCTTAACCACCCTAAACAATTTGGTATCATTGACCTCACTGCTCAGAACTAACTCTAGATCTTTATGAACAAGTTAAAAAGCACAGGTCTCAACACATCTCCTTTGGGGACTCTACTTTCTATACCCCTCCACTGTGAGAACTGTCCATTTATTCCTGCTTTCTGTTACCTAACCAGTTACTGGTCCATAATAGGACCTCTCCTCCTATTCTGCGGCAGCTAAACATACTCAGGGGTTTTGGTAAGGGACTCTTATCAAAAGCTTTTTGAACAAGTATGCAATGTCAGCTGGGTCACCTTTATCTATATGCTTGTTGACACTCTCAAAGAACTGTACAAAGTTAGATAGTGAGAGACTCTTGCAAAAGTCATACTGGTTCTGCTTCAGAAAGACATATTATTTTCTGTGCTTGGTATTTTTATATTTAATAGCAGTTTTACAAGAACAGATGTTTAGTGAACTGGCATGTAATATTTAAGATTCCCCCAGGATTCCTTTTTTTAAATTGGTGTTACCTTGGCCATTTTTCAGTGCTCGGGTATGGAGCCTGATCTTAAGTTACATATTTCTGTTAGAATATCACCAATTTCACATTTGAGTTATTTTAGAGCTCTCAGGTGGATGCCATCTGGCGATTTGTCAGCTTTTAATTTGTCAATAAGACCTAGAAATGTGTCTCTTGTCACTGCAACTTGCCTCAGTTCTGAAGACTCCATTCTCTGTAACATTTGTTCAGGAACAGATATTTGCCATACATCTTCGGTCGCAAAGACAGATGCAAATGTACTAGAAAGTGATGGATATCAACAATTGCTTGATGTGATGTTGTACAGTCTCCACACAAACAAGTCAGAATGAATGCTTAATAAGCAGCCGATATCATATAACCTTCACACAAACGCTGTGTAAACAAATCGGGATGAATGCGCAATAAACAGGCGTTTGGAAGCAGCATGTGTTAGGACTTCCTTTGCAGCTGTCCATTTAGATAGATACTTGCTAACACTATGGTCACTGTTTCCAATCAGTTCAACAACTGGATAGGTCAGTTGGTAGAACATGAGACTCTTAATATCAGGGTCGTGGGTTTGAGCCCCACATTGGGCAAAAAGATTCCTGCAATGCAGGGGGTTGGACTAGATGACCCTCATGATCCCTTCCAGCTCTACAATTATATTATTCTAGTTACATCTTCCACAAGGTCCTGGGCATTGCTTAATACTAAGTCTATGGCTGCCACCCTTCTAGTCAGTTCCATGACCAACTGTACCACGGCATTGTCACACTGCATCACTCCAAAGGCATTGCATAAAGTGCTGAAAGCCCTGTGACACTATTAAAAAGCAAGAAACGTGGAAAACATTTGGACTCCTCATGAGGTTAACAAAGATAAGGGCAGCTCCTCCCTCAAAAACAAAATGGCGGAAACTACTTCTGTCCCAAGAAATGAGTAGGAAGCTGGTCCATATTTTCAGCAGGGATGTTTTCGGGAAACTGGGAGGTAAGGATTTTGGCCTAGACTTAATCCTTTCACCAACAGATGGGAAAGCAATCCAACAGGGAAAAGGTTACATAGACTCTTCTCTTTATCGCTCCTCTGATTATATTTGCATCCCACTGCAGCTTTTTCAAAAAGAAAAAAACCTAACTCCAGAAACTTGCTAAATACAGCTTATGTGTTATACATATCTCTCAAGATCAAATTAAGGCATTTAGTTTGGCTTCAAGTACCAGGCCTACCATTCGTTTCAAGATTTTGCTTGTTAGCATATTCATGCAAAATACCGTATGCACTTATGGTTTACTGTGCATTGTACCAGTCATCTATTGCTTGATTAGGCAGGTGTTTCCTGTGTTCTCACGCTTTTGAGAGAGAAAAAGCGGAAGTGCAAGCAGACAGAACTTTGAAAGCCAGGTGTTTTTGCTTACTCAAGAGCCACATTAAATGAGAGAAAACGAGATGTTAGTTGCTTAGGGTAAGAAGGAAGCTATGTGATTATGCTCAGAGATGGTTCAGTTTCACTGAGCTAACTATTAGGACAAATGCCAACATATATTGAAAAATACGTGCACCAGTATTTGTACAGTAATACCCATGAGTATTGTGCTTAAGACAGCTATGCACAAGAGAAAAGCACTGGCCGACTTGAGGCAAACCTGAGGGACGCACAACAATTCTGAAATATGTAAATCTTTCTATATATCTCCAAGCCAGCCCATAATAACTCAATGGTATGGAATGCTGAGAAGTGGAGAGCTGAAATACCTGGCAGCCAGGTAGGAGGGGGGGATTAGAATGGAGTGGCTGGAAAAGGACATACAGACAAGCTTATGTATGGTAGAATGAACCATTGTCTGGACAGGTCATTTCTTAGTTCACACTGAGGATTTTTTAATTATTCCCTAGGAATGGAAGTGAGAAAATTAAGAAATCAAAGATTTTGATATTGCTGGGCCTCAGTGTGTCCACCCCACCCCATCCCTCAAAAGAGCACCCCAAAATAGAAACAGATATGAATTCCTGCTCTTTGTAACTCAGTTCTTATTTAGCATGAACCTGTTTGGCCCTGACACCAAAATCTTTTCACCACCAAGTTAAGATTTTTCTTTTCTTCCAACTATCAAAATACAGTTTAATTGAGCTGTGTGAAGGGTTTATGCTAGTGCCACTCTTGGTTGCTGATACATTTCTCACCCTGTCTGTGGAACCTGGAGTTTTATATATTGATTTTCCATTATGGTGTACATTTTAAACAATTTTGCATGTTTTTTAACTTGATTGTAGGTCACCTACCTAGACCCTAGAACAAGGGTGGAGAACTGCTTCCAGCTGGGGGACATAATCCTACTCTCCAGAAACCATGCAGCCCATTTTGAAAAGTGCACGTGTCAATCATCTGATGTCACAATGACAACAGGTGAAACATTTTCTCAGGTGGTGACATGTTTTCCTTTGCCCATGCGGTTTGAAATCCAACGCCACAGGCAAAGACTCTGAGGGTTGCAGATGCTGATGTCTGCCAGCGCCTGCGAACCCCAATTCTTTTGCCAAACTGGTTTGAAAGCCCAGGGATTGGAAGCTACCACTAACTTCAAACTCTGCTTTAGGCTGGGAGTCACATCTTTACATGCCCTCCCCTCATGTCACACATGGTATAGACGGACATGGACTAAGGATAACATTCTTGGGGCCCAAATTAGGGCTCCTTGTGTGCCATAGATGTCCCACCATCGTTGTAGAGACAGCTGTGTCTCAGAAGACCAATGCAATAAATACAGTGGTACCTCGGGTTACATACGCTTCAGGTTACAGACTCTAACCCAGAAATATTACCTTGGATTAAGAACTTTGTTTCTGTATGAGAACAGAAATCATGCAGCGGCGGCGCAGAGGCAGCAGGAGGCCCCATTAGCTAAAGTGGTGCTTCAGGTTAAGAACAGTTTCAAGTTAAGAAGAGACCTCCATAATGAATTAAGTTCTTAACCCGAGGTACCACTGTACATAATTTGTGCCACACTTTTCTTCCCCAGAACTCAGATAGGTGTAGATGCCCTCCACCTGCATTTTAGCCTTGCAATTTGGGCATTTTCCTCCTGCTTTTTCTAAAGGTTTTCTGGATTGTATTCCTGCATGCCCAACATGAGTTTGTTCAAACTGTGGGAGGCAGTGGAAGGCAGGAGTGCCTGGCATGCTCAGGTCCATGGGTTCATGAAGAGTCGGACACGACTAAACAACAACGCCCATTCACTTGGGAATCTAACATAATTAGACGTGTGGACCCTATGGAAAAGTGTGGTGTAGTGGTTAAGAGTGTAGGACCTGGGAGACCAGGGTTTAAATCCCAACCCAGCCATGAAGCTCAGACTAACCTACCCCACAGGGTTGTTGTAGGGATTAAATGAGGAGGCGGGAGAGACACGTACGCCATCCCGAATTCCATGCAGAATGAACGCGATAAAAAGCAAACGACCAAGCCCCGCACACCTGGCACATTCCAGTTACAGTATAAGGGCTTGAACCGGTTCCTTCAGTCACGCCGAGAAGCCTCTCTTGGACTATACGCTATATTAAACTTTTCTTTCTTCCTTGTCTCCCCCTGCCCCTCCCAACCCCGTGTGTGGCGTGATGAAAACTGCGTAATTCAAAGAGTTGCCTACGGTACTTAACGGGCGGGTCTACTCTTAAGGAGGAGGGGGGAACACCACCCGCGCCTTTCTGCGCATGCGCCAAACCAGCCGATCGCTTCCAAGCCGTTAAGATCACGCACACTTCCTGCTTGTCCTCCCTCCGGGAAACGCATGCGCAGAGAGACACTTCTCCTCCCCTGTTTCCCAGAGTGCTCTGCGCGGTGAAGAAGCGTCGGTCGCGGGCTGGAGGCATTTTGTGTCCTGGATATCAGCAGCGAAAGAGAGAGAGGAAGAGAGCGAGAGCAAGAGAGAGACAGACAAGATGGCGGCGGCGGCCGAATGAAGCGCAAGGCGGCGGCGGCGGCAGCCGGATCCGCTCGAATTTCTCCCTCCCTTCCCAGCCCTCAGGGCTGCCTTTCCTGAGAGGGCAGAGAGAGCGCTGACAGCCGCGGAAGCGTGTGGAGGGGGACGTCCGCTTCCTACAAAGGGGCCTGGTTGCGAACGGAGCCTCGGGGACCGGAGTCCTCCCTCCCGCCCCCCGTCCTCCATACACTTCCCCCCTCCTCTTCTTCTTCCTCCCACCGACAGACCCCTCGAAATCCTGGCTTTTTCGTAGCAGGAGCTCCTTGAGGAGAAACTCGGCAGTCGGGCTCTCGACGTGTGAACAAGCCCCCCTCCTCCCCCCCTCCCCGCTCGCGCTCTCCCTCGGTCGCCATGGCGAGCAGCAGCGGCTCCAAGGCCGAGTTCATCGTCGGGGGCAAATACAAGCTGGTGCGGAAGATCGGCTCGGGCTCCTTCGGGGACATATACTTGGCCATCAATATCACCAACGGGGAGGTAAGGGCCGGCGGGCGCCCGGGCCTCTTCTCCCCCCCTCTCTTCCCCTGTCGCGTCAGAGAAGAGGGGTCGCTTCTCGCTCCTCCCCCCCCCCCCGCCTGGCAGAACATCAACTCGGGGGGAAAGCGCCAGAAAAAGCTGCCCGGACTCTCTTGCCACAAAGCCTGGCCGCCCCCACTTCGCCCTTATGTCGAGGGCCGTTTCTGGCTTCTCCTTCGCCGCCTCTCCGCTTTAGTCGTTTATAGATATTAGCGTCGGACTTTCCCCTCATTTTTATTTTGGAACTTATTTCTTAGGTTCTTTTTTTTTGGGGGGGGGGGAAGGACACGATCGTGACAAATCATAATAAGCACCTTCACGGTGTAGGGTTTTGATTTGTATTTTTGTAATAGGGTTTCCGTCCTGTCTTGGCAGTGATGAGTCTGCAATGCTTGGTTCAGTTTTGAAAATTTTCTCTCCCCCGGCCCCGACTCTTTTAATTGTTAGCTTAGTAGTGTTTGTAGTACATAAAACGCCAGGCTGCCTGGTAATATAGATGGATAAAGAGGCCGTTTGTATTGTTGAGGGGGGATCCTTATGTGATCTATAGAGAAACTGTACCTAAGCTCATTTCTTGCATTCACAATTAACCTCGTTCAAGAGGCAATGACGGCACCTTTATCATAGTGTTTTAACACTTTCTGGGAATAATGGATTAATGTTAGTATCCCTAGGATGGATATTTACAGAAGTCGGCACTGTGTGGAATATGTTTGCGGAGCTTGTCACTTACCAGGATACTCCTGTGGATGGCTTTCCCATGCCCTCAAATATGCTGTAGTGGAGAAATGCAGTCCTCTTGCTCCAATAGGATCTCTGACCCATATTCCCTCTTCACTGCAGGAAGTAGCTGTGAAGTTGGAGTCTCAGAAGGCCAGACATCCCCAGCTGCTATATGAAAGCAAACTATACAAGATTCTGCAAGGGGGAGTTGGCATCCCTCACATAAGGTAAGAATTATAGCTCTTGGGAGATAAAGTAGTCATTATCTCTTTTCCCCAAAGGATGAGTGTATTTTGTTTTTCACTGCTAGAGGAAGTGATACATATATGTTGCCTGAAATAAGCCTTATTATGAGTGGTAGCAAGTTGCATCTAGAAAAAGATCTTGAAGGATCCTTCCCTACCAGCTGCTTGTTTCCCTTCCCCATCTCTGCACCAACAAAATTATCTAGTACTTGAGAATATGGCAGTAGTTGAAACAGGAGTACTGGTTACTCTGAGGATTGGAATAGAACAGTGGAAATGGCTGCTCCCTTTTGTGTTTTTGTTCCAACATGTCTTCCTCCTCTGCTCAGAAAATGGCGGATGTCAGTACTTAAACATTCCCAAGAAGTGGAATATATTTAATTTCCCACCTCGCTCCCATTCCCTTCTACCATCAGTATTGTATCTTGAAAGATTGGGGCTTATGAGGACTGGGGAGGGAAGGAAAAGTGCAGAAACTGGAAGCCCCTTACAGTTGCTGACGACATATGCATCACTGAGCTCTTAATTACGCAGTGCTGCTTAAATCACCTTCCTTCCTTTTATTCTCCCTTGAAAATGGAATTTCATTGTGAGATCTACTTGAGAGGTTCCCAGTCTTGTAATGGAGGGAACTAGTAGCTAGTGGGAGAGTAAATAAAGTCTGCTTTTCTATTGTGAAACTCATAAAAAGCACTTAAAAAAAACTTTATACAAAGGAAAAGATTCTGAGTCAAGACTCTTAGCAGCTCTTGGCTAGTGCCCTAAAAAATCAGGCAGTACTGTTGAATACCTTGTATATCTGAAAAATAATCTGATTGGGTTTTGCTTACGAATATTGTTAGTAATAAGTTTGGCAAGTGAAGAGACTACAGTAAATGGATTCAATTTAGGATGGTTATTCTACTTACCTTTTTTGAAATGGCTGGACATTCTGAACTCTTACATTTCACTTCTGTATGTTGTACTGTGACTTCTGGCATTTGTACCTCATTATCAAAGTGAACCATGTGTAAGCAGAAAATAAACTTAGTAAAGGCACTTCCAATTCAATTCTCTAAGTAGTTAAAAACTGGGTTGCAATTGTAAACCAGTAAGAAATGTTGATGTCTTAGTCATAAGAGGCTTCTGCTGCTGGAAGTTTGTGAACTACATAAACTACAATGCCATGTTGTAACCTACATAAGTCCTTTACTGAATGGATACAGAATTATTCAATGACATACTTGTATGAAGCAACTGCCCCCCGGATTTAATTACATTGTGCAACTGTAGGAATAAAGCTGCATTTATTACGTAATAGATTTGGCTGTTCTGCATTCTGTTGATGGAGTTTTCACTTTTGATAAGATTCTATTCAGGCCTGTGCTTAGATGCAGAGCATAATATTATTTAAATTTTTGCTGCTAAGGTTGAAAATTGGATGATCTTGCTTTGAAAGCCAGTATTTTGTTATGAAGAACTGTAGATGTCCATTAAAAAACCACTAGATTGTATGAAGTTACATGTTGGTTAGTGAGGCTATTTTTAGTTTAATTGTTTAATTGTTTAAATTTTACTTTTTGCTTTATTAAACCTGGCAGTTGTTTGTAAATAACAAAACATTAAGGGAAGTATATTTTTAGGAAATGCAGAATATACTTTAGCCACCCAATTCCATAAATGTATTAATGAAGTAATTGGTGACTTTTTTCAGTAAAGGAAATTGATTTGGTTGAGTGATGATAAATTATTATGAGGATATGGAATGTTTGCTGAGGCAACTGTTCTTTCATCTCAGAAGTAATCATTGAAGTTTTCGTTGTCTTCTTTGTTTGCATGTTGCTAACTACACATTCTGGTTGTGTTTTCACATTGTAAGCTATTAACTATGGCTACCTGCGCACAAGCCAATTGTGCCTAATTTTCTCCATTGTGCTTCTGTTGGGTGGAAGCAAACTATGATCCTCTGCTTAGTGTTACATCTGAATCACGGATTATGATTCATTGGCACCAAGAAAATGCAATGATAGGTCAAGGAATGTTCTTGGTTTACTGTGATTTGTTGGATTACCATCAGTGTTAGAAACTCAGATATGGCTAGGTACCAAATGGCTCCTTAAACCAGGGTAACAGTTTCCAAAACAGAATGCCTAGTTGCAGTTTTGGGGCTAGATGCCTCAAAAGTCATATTTTTCAATACAGCTATTTGGTTCCTGAAATTCATTATGATTGGGCAGATAAAATACAATATAATTCTGCTGGATGTGTTGCTAGTGTATGAAAACAGTCAAGATCCAAGGATCCCCAGGCTTGCACCCCCAGTTGGTGGAGATGTCAGGTGTCATCCTGGTGCCCTTCATTTGGCTGCAAATGGCCGATAACCAGGTGCAAAATGCTCCTGGCACATTTCAAACATTGATTACCATGGCATGCACTTGTGATCATTGCATAATTCAGGGCTTGCTAATCTGTGACTCCAGATGTTGCTGGACATCATCCCTGACCATTGGCTATCGTGGGTAATGGAAGTTGGAGCCTGACAACAAATGAAAGGGAACAGGTTATCCACCCTATGTGTAGCTAATGGCTGAAGATGGTTCAAACTATGGTTAAAGGAAGACTGTAATTTTGCATATTGTCTGAATTGACAAAAGCATGATTTCAGTCAGTTGGCAGACCAGCAGGCCAAATGGCCAGTGCTAATGGATGTGATGTGATGTCTAAATTGACAGTTACTGTTTCTCTGCCTCCAGAGGCTGCTGCACTGTGAATATGAAGTTAAAACTATAGCTGCATGATTCTGAGAGATTAGAAAATGAAATCAAACTGGATGGTGAAGGTTAATGGAGTTGGGTATGTTTAGTCTGGAAAAGAGACAATTAAAAGGCAATGTGTATCTCTTAAAATACTTCCAAGGGCTGTCACATGATTGGATTGAGCCTGTTTCCTGTTGCTTCAGATAGTAGGACCCGAACCAAAGGGTTTGAATTACATGAAAGGTGATTTCAACTAAACATTAGGAATAACTGCATGTGCAACTAGATGTTCAGATCATGGTTTGAGTTCTGCACCTGTGGTTAGCACAGTTTGACAGTAGAACAGGCTGCCCTGGAAAGTGGTGGGCTCCTTCCACAGGCTGTACTACATGGAATGCTATAGTGTTCATCAGCTAGGGTTGAACCAGATGGCCTTAGAGGTCCATTCCACTTCTTTAAAAAACATTGAAGTACATCACCTGGATGAATGAAGTTGTGATTTATTTATTTATTTTTACCTCCATTGATTTGGTTGGCATTACGGCTCTGCTTTGTAATTTCTGATTTATTTTATTGATTATCTATCCAAAACACTTTTACTCCATTCTTTAGCCAAAAGTTCCCAGAGTGACTTAGAAGATCAGTAATAAGACAGCTCTGTTCCTCACATGTAAAATACATGAAGCACAAGAAAGCATATGCACTCTTAGATTATTCTTGCATCAAATAGTTTGTGTTGGAGAAACTGAACAGGTTTTCCAGTATGTTTTTTGTTATATTATTTTTGCAAATGATTAACTGGTTTGGCGAATGATAGCTTGGATTAAAATTTAGTTGCACTTCGTTTCCAGTGAAATAACTGCGACTTAAGTCTTAACTAACATTTCATACAGTTTTCAGTAGGACCCTAATGCAATTAACTTAGACTGGTTTCAACCCAATATAACACAATTTACAACCCAATATAACACAACACAATTTCACAAATACCAATACTTGATATCTGAAAGATGGCCTCCTGTCCAAAATTAACAGTCTTTATCAGTGACCGTATTGTATGTGCCACCACAAAGGGAGGCTAGGTTGATGGATACCCAGGACAGGGCCTTTTCTGTACCAGCACCCAATTGTGAAACTTGCTTCCTTGGAGGTCAGGTTGGCACCATCTTTTCCTAACTTTAGGCAAACCCTAAATACTGTTTTGCTTTGTCTGGCTTTTGATTGGTTTTAAATTCAACTCTGTAGTTTTGTGGTGTTAAGTTTTATTTAGTTTTAACTGATGTCTTTATACTGTTTTTACAAATTATAGCTACTTGTGGGCAGATAAGGTATTCATAAATACTTTAAAAAATTTAAAAAGTCTAAATCATAGTCTAGTAAAATCTTGTCAAACAAGAGACTTGTCTTTGCATCCCCCGGCATGTGTTTACGTAACATAAGAGAGTGCCTGTAGAGAACTAATATCAGAATGAAAATCATGTTAGTTTGATTATAGACGCTAAACTTTGCTATTAGAAACTTTTGTCTCTCCTAAAAGCAAACTGAGCTGGTTAATATTGATAGGACTTCAGCAAAAGCAGGGCCCATGATAACCAAGAGGGGAGGTATCAGTATGATCAGAGAAACCACAGGGTTTGCAGATATACAAACAATCCGTAAGGAATATGAGAGGGACAGTCTACACATATCAACAGGGCAGTGACGGCTAAGCATGCTCACTGGCCACAGAGCATCTTTGGAGGCAATTGGAGGGGAATATAGTGGAAGAGAGGGACGCGGGTGGCGCTGTGGGTAAAACCTCAGCGCCTAGGACTTGCCGATCGTATGGTCGGCAGTTCGAATCCCCGCGGCGGGGTGCGCTCCCGTTGCTCGGTCCCAGCCTAGCAGTTCGAAAGCACCCTCGGGTGCAAGTAGATAAAAAGGGACCGCTTACTAGCGGGAAGGTAAACAGCGTTTCCGTGTGCGGCTCTGGCTCGCCGGAGTAGCTTCGTCACGCTGGCCACGTGACCCGGAAGTGTCTGCGGACAGCACTGGCTCCTGGCCTCTAGAGTGAGATGAGCGCACAACCCTAGAGTCTGTCAAGACTGGCCCATACGGGCAGGGGTACCTTTACCTTTACCTTACAGTGGAAGAGGGTATATCTGGCTGTAACCCTGAACAGGAACACTCCATACAGCAACACTCCTTTTGCAGGTCCCCCTTGTTCTGTCCTTAGGAGCATCAGGGCAGTTTCTTGCTACATACAGA